GGCTCCCAATCTCGGGCACCGAAGCAAGGCGCGATTGGGGAATTACCGCAGCCCGAGCCGGCGCGTCCCCCGCTTGGCCGCTGATTCAGTCATGCGCTCAAGCTGCCGGCCGTCGCCCCGCAGTCTCGCCGCTAGTGGCGCAGCCCAACATTCACGCCGAGCTCCGCCGCCGCGCGCCCTCGCTCTGCTGGGGTTTAACGAAGTTTTTGTTGGCCTCTCCTCCTCGGCTAGGTATGCTGGGAATCCAACGCAGCTGCGGTTTCATCCAACGGACACGGTCCACCGTTGCAGCGTGAGCGTGACAGATGGGAGCCGCTGCAGTAGCGTCACTGCCAGGTGGGCCCGCGAGACACCGACGAGGGGCGTAATTGGCGTGAACCGTCCAAAACTCGAATGACTAGCATGAACTTGTATCGATATCGTTGAAGCACTGGATCTCTCTGCACTACTGCTTAACTTAATACTAAGGTTCCCGTCAAAAAAAAAAAGTCGGCTTATTTTTTAAGCCGCCAAAAGAACTGGCCCTAAGGTTAATTTGCCGCAGAATACATCGCGTGACCCCGATGTATAGCTGTGTTTGGTTGGTGGCTTATGACAGGTGCAGCTTCGGTCAAATTTTGGGCGGTGGCCAGGAGGTCAAACTCGGTATGGCCAGCAACGAGTCAGCCATGGAAGTTGACCACGTGTTAGCACCAGTTCACCTTGACCTCAGTCCAGAATTGCATCATTCTCTGCGTGGTGCAAGTCACATGGTTTGACTGTGCGGCCACAGTCACAAGTCGAATTTCTCATTCAGGTCCCCTTCGGGGACCCGGCTTGAGTAGTAGGCTGTGCCTTGGCACTTTTCCTTTCTTTCTTCTTCTTTTTCTTCTATCCTTGATCTACGGATCATCGCCTTTGTCACTTTTCCATCTGCTCCGTGCTTAATATCAATGAGAAACCAACCATGGCTGGGCCTTTCAAAAAAAAAACAGTCACAAGTCAAATTGTCGACTGTGAACCTATGTTATATGATAAAACCAAAAATCCCAAAGTATCAACCTAAACTGTGCAGATTGCATCTTTCGACGAACACTTAATTCGTCTACCACAAGTTCATTTTCGGCGCTGCACAATATTTCCAAATTGGAGCATCCTAAGTACACAGTATAGGCATGCTCATAAATCAAAAACCATTTGTTGCCTCTTCAATTTCTCATTCTACCTCATACAGAGACAAACATTTTATGCCAACCAAGCTGGCCTACCAACAATTGTATATTACTAAGCGTTTACGTCCCACCCAGAAGCAGTCTTATGCGCCATTTGGAGTTCTGTGAAAAATGTCAAGATACTCTAACAGATGATTGGTCGTTTCTTCTATGGTCCATGTATTGGCTAGACGAATCATTTGAACTTTTAGCTGGCCCTGCGGTGATAATATTCCGCAAGTTTCCTCGCTTGTCTGTCATTCTCTGCGTGTATCAGCATATATATCAGATATCAAGAGATACAACAAGTATAAGAACTGGTGTGGTAAATATTAGCATTGCGGACACATACATTTAGTCTTCTGCCGAGCTATATTCCTCATTTGTCCTATTCCATCTTCTACTGCTTGAACAATATTCGTTGACTTGTTCACACCGTCTGCTATCACTTGGCTGCAAATGGTTGTTTCAGTAACAGACAACAAGGGATGAGCTAAATGAGTCGAATAATTATCCACGGTTCTCATGCTTATGACAGATTTGCATAGTTAGGCCTCTTCAGTTCTCGACTAAAATTCAAAAAAAAAGTTCTCGACTAAATATGTCTACGATGTTAACTGTAAGCAACTTTAAACCAATATCACATTCAGTATGCGGATTTAAAACATAGTTCGATCTACAGATGTGAAACTGGGTGCAGGTCAGCTGCAATTAATGTGTGCCGAATAATATAAACCCACATCAATTTATAACGATAGTGCTACAACATAGGTAGGTAGATAAACCTTTGGTTTCCTATAACCAAAAAAATAGATGAACATCCATATGAAACTCAGGCATACAGTTATTTTGCGTTTACCTCAAGTCACTAAGTTCAAGGGTGAAATCACTGATTTCCATGCCAGAGAGTCTTACAGCTGTCATCGTGCTCGGTAACTCATCCAGAGCTGCATCAGCCAGCAGAGCAAATGAATTTGCAGCTCTCCTCATAGCCTGTTGAATAGAACCGAGTCTGAAAACTCCATCAAATAAAAATCATACTAATAGTACGTAAAAGGGGCAAAATGATGTGTAGAAGCTAAGGGGTATTTTCACAGCACATAACCATCCTCTCAACTTGTCATTTTCGGACACCACACATTCTCTTATTTCAATCTTCAGCAATCAGCTCCTCAACTCTCATAACTTTTTCTTTTTAATTTCCCCCTATCGTCAAAACAACCATTGCTTCTCCTAACTCGCGCACACATAACATAAATTGCCACAAAGTATATTAGTCGATACAGCATGTTACTGTTATAAACATTGGTTTTATGACTAACGAGATGCCATGTTATTAGCAGCTCCAAAACAAGATAATATGTTAACACTGGCATTTGGAATATATACATGAAGACATGAAGTTCCATGTGGGTCCAGTCATGAGTTCCAGACTTTCTGTTAAAGAGATAAGATAAGCCCGAAAAATAGATTTGTGGGAACGCTTGGGTCCGAGGGTAGTTCGTCGGAGAGACGAGATAGTCCTTTCTCTCCATCACCCAACTCCACAGCACTTCCAACCCCGGGTAGGGGGGATTTGCAATCTCTTGGTGATGTCCTCATTGAAGGTCCTCATGGGTGACGGCTAGCAGTGTAGACTCAAGGGCAACTCTAACTCTAGCTAGTGTCCAAGGACCACACTGGTTATCGCCAGGTTTTACTAGACCAAAGGCACTCCAGCACTAGGCTCTAGGGCAACTCTAACTCTAGCTAGTGTCCAAGGACCACACTGGTTATCGCCAGGTTTTACTAGACCAAAGGCACTCCAGCACTAGGCTAGTCCAAGGTCAACTCTAGCTCTAGGGTAGTCCAAAGGAAACTCTAGCACTAGGCTAATCCAAAGGGAACTCTAGCACTAGTTTAGTCTCAGGGCAAATGTGACCAGGTTCAATGGGGCAGCGCCCCTAGCGGCAGTCCCTCGTGAGTTCGGGCAGCGCCCGTAACCTCAACACCATGTGGATCCACACTGCGACCCCAACCACATGTCTTGCACGTAACCGAACAGCAGCACATTGCATCTGGGGAGAACATACTTGCAACCAAACGTCGTGCTTGTGTTACCGTTGTCATGCAGCCTGGGCTTTGTGGGAACCAAACGAAATGCAGAACATGGTTGGGAGCCTATATTTTCTCAGTTAGATAACAAACGCGCCCAAAGTGAGCATGTAAGCGTCCAAAGTCTTGCCCCCGGCTGCCTCTTTCAAGTGAGGAAGGTCATATGTATATAGGGAAATAGTTCGGGAAATCACATGGCATGCCATTAGGCTACATACATTGGTGGCCCCATCTTTCTTAACATGGTAGTTTTTAGTCAAAGAATTAGTGAAAAAGTGGTAGTTTTCAGCACAAATTTGTAAAGTGGTAGTTTGTAGGCACGGTTCCATGAAATGTGGTAGTTTTTTGTTAAATACTCTTTTTTTCTAGAATATGAATAGCATGTGTATCATCCATTAAAGAAGAATAGGCAAAAAAGCCAAGTACAATGCGTTTCGGCTATTACAACACTAATCTCCAGGATTAGCAACTGCACCCACCATGCCTACCACGAACATGCCTCACCCAGTCCAACCTCTAGCCGAAGACGATGAGGCAAAACAGGGAACAACCGGACCGCATCATGATTGAAGTCGGAGACATTTGCAACAACCATGACTCTCGAACAGCTTGGACCAATGTGCCCCTCATCTATGCGCCTAGAAGGAGTCGGCATATGGACAGCAGGACCCGGCCGGACCTGAAGGAAGCGTCGTCGAGGAAGTGTTGATGTCGGTGTACATTGTACCCGAAGGCCCACGCCCTGAGCAGCAGCCACCATGGGGGACTCCACGAGCAACCTGGACGATGCCTCCAAGGAGGGGACCAACGCCATGGCACCGGCGTTGCCGCCACCTAGTCCAAAGAGCCGGATCTAGGGTTTCCCCTGGTGCACGAGGAAGGGAGTTGTGGTCAGATGTGACGCCCCGAGACCGATGTGCCAGGTGTCTTCCAGTTATTCGCTGTTGTTGCCTTGTCATTTGCTTGCGTGTTGCATCTTGCCATGTCATCATCCGCATTGCATCATCATGTTTTTAAAACTTGCATCCGTCCCAGTCTCCTCGTTCCGTCTGTTGTCCGTTCTGAGCCCAGACACACTTGCACGCGACCGCGGCATGTCCGAAATACTATTTTATAAGTGGCCGAAAAATGTTCTCGGATTGGGTTGAAAGTTGGCGTGCGGTCTTATTATAGTGTAGGTAGGCCGCCTGCCAAGTTTCATCGCATTCGGAGTCCGTTTGATAGCCCAACCATTAAACTATAGCGGCAGTATAGCCGGTCTTTTCGTCGGACGTTTTCGGTCTCCGAAAACCGTGCCGGGCTGCTTTCCTCTTCTCTTCTCTCAGCCCAAGGCCTCTTCTGCACAGCCACCTGCAGCTCACCTAAAACCCCCCTCCGCTCCGGACCGTCGGATCGAGATCCGATGCCCGAAAACGGATGATGGTTCCCCTAACCCTAGCCCCTTACTATATATAGACCCCTCCTTCCAATTTTGGGCATCCCTAGCCCCACACCTACCTCTAGCCGCCTCCCAACCGCAGCCACCTTCCTCCTCGGAATCAGCGCCTCCCCAGCCGCCCTCCGCCACTTGGCGCCGCCGCCGGCGCGCTCGGGCCAATCCGAGCGCGACACGTCGCCTCCCCGCGCCCCGCAGCCAACCCCAGCGCGCCACGCGTCCTCCCCCGCGCCCCACTTCACCGCGGCCCTGCCAGGCCCATCTGCGGCCCGCCCCCGGGCTCGAACCGGGCCCGACCGCGCCGCCCGCCTCCGCTCCCGACCTGCCCCGCTCGCCTGGTTCCCCTCGCTCCTCGCTCCGCCTGACCCCGCCTTCGAGCACGCTGCCCCACCGTCCGCGCTCGCCGGCGACAAACGCCGCCCTTCGCTGGAAATCTTCAGCAGGCCAGGTCGCGGCCTCCCCTGCCCGCGAACTCCTTCCTTCCGCCGCTCTATCTGCCGCTCACGCTTCCCTCTCTCTCCCTTGCAGGATCCCACCGCCGGAGGTTGCCTCGCTCACCCCGTCGTCGGACGCCGCATCGACCCCCGCCGTGCCTAGATCCGTCTGGAACCGCCCGTTTCGCCGCTCGTGGGACCCTCTCCGGCCTTCTGCGTTTCCTGTCGCCGCCCCGCCGTCTGCATCGTCGCCGTCGGCGACCCTTTTCGCCAAGAGTCCGCGACACCGCCCGTTCACGCGCGCGTTGACCGTTTTGGTCGACCGCATGGGCCTCGCAACCTCAGCCCAACGCCCCGACCGGCCAAGACACCCGCCGGCCGGCCCCCTTCCAACCTGGGCCATGGCCCATGGTGAAACCCCAGCCCCTCCAGATTCGGCCCTATACTATTTTTTTCCCTGACCTGCGAATTTTGCTATTTATTCGGGAACTGTTGTTTTACAGAAAAGTCCTTCATATTCATGCATTTAATATCTCCACAACCATGCATCGGATTAAAACAACTTATATATGTAAAGTGCTTAGAATTTTGTCTAGTTTCATAATATGCCACTTTCAATCATGTTTAAAATGTCTAAAATGTTGTTTGTTTAATTTTGAATAAATGCCATGCTAAAATGTTTTAATTCATAACTATTTAACCGTAGCTCCAAATTTAATAATCTTTATATGTAAATGCGGTAGAAAAATGCCTAGTTTAACATGGTGCATTCACCTTGCATGTTTAACAACTCTAAAATATTGTTTAGGGCAGGACAGTACCATAACCAAAATATGCACATGAGGATTTTCCGGACTTGTTGTTTTGTTGTTCCGGCCTCATTTAAACTTGCCTAGATAGATAGTTTCATTATGCTTCACCTCTTGCCATGCTAACAACATTTAATATTGTTAGGTACATAAACGAGATCGAACTAAATAACTTGAACGTGGTGTTTCGTCAATATGCAACGGAGTTGCATGTTGAGCTCCACTTAATTTGTAGGATTGTTTGTGCACTTTGTCATGCCATGTATCATTAAACCGGACATGCATCATACTTGGTTGTGCATCATGCCATGTTTATGTGATGGTTGTTTACTATGTTGTTTGCTTCTTCCGGTGTTGCTTCTTCGGGTTGGATCCGGTAACGTCGCGTTTGTGAGGATCCGTTCGACTACGTCCGTTTGTCTTCTTCATGGACTCATTTTTCTTCCTTGCGGGATTTCAGGCAAGATGACCATACCCTCGAAATCACTTCTATCTTTGCTTGCTAGATGCTCGCTCTTTTGCTATGCCTATGCTGCGATACTTACCACTTGCTTATCATGCCTCCCATATTGTTAAGCCAAGCCTCTAACCCACCTTGTCCTCGCAAACTGTTGTTTGGCTATGTTACCGATTTGCTCAGCCCCTCTTATAGCGTTGCTAGTTGCAGGTGAAGATTGAAGTTTGTTCCTTGTTGAAACATGGATATTTTGTTGGGATATCACAATATCTCTTATTTAATTAATGCATCTATATACTTGGTAAAGGGTGGAAGGCTCGGCCTTATGCCTGGTGTTTTGTTCCACTCTTGCCGCCCTAGTTTCCGTCATATCGGTGTTATGTTCCCGGATTTTGCGTTCCTTACACGGTTGGGTTATAATGGGAACCCCTTGACAGTTCGCCTTGAATAAAACTCCTCCGGCAAGGCCCAACATTGGTTTTACCATTTGCCACCTAGCCTTTTCTTTCCCTTGGGTAGGCCTGCCCAAGGGTCATCTTTATTTAAACCCCCAGGCCAGTGCTCCTCTGAGTGTTGGTCCAACTTGTCAACCGCCGGTGGCCACCAGGGGCAACTCTAGGCTGGCCTACCGGAAGTTTGGACAATCCGGTGTGCCCTGAGAACGAGATATGTGCAGCTCCTATCGGGATTTGTCGGCACATTCGGGTGGCTTTGCTGGTCTTGTTTTACCATTGTCGAAATGTCTTGTAACCGGGATTCCGAGTCTGATCGGTTTGTCTTGGGAGAAGGAATATCCTTCGTTGACCGTGAGAGCTTGTGATGGGCTAAGTTGGGACACCCCTGCAGGGTTTTGAACTTTCGAAAGCCGTGCCCGCGGTTATGGGCAGATGGGAATTTGTTAATGTCCGGTTGTAGAAAACCTGAAACTTAACTTATTTAAAATGCATCAACCGCGTGTGTAGCCGTGATGGTCTCTTCTCGGCGGGGTCCGGGAAGTGAACACGGTGTTGGAGTTATGTTTGACGTAGGTTGTTCTAGGATCACTTCTTGATCATAGATTTTCGACCGTGCTTTGCCTTCTCTTCTCGCTCTCATTTGCGTATGTTAACCACCATATATGCTAGTGCTTGCTGCAGCTCCACCTCATACCTGTTACCCTACCTTTAAGCTTAAATAGTCTTGATCGCGAGGGTGTGAGATTGCTGAGTCCCTGTGACTCATAGATACTTCCAAAACCAGTTTGCAGGTGCCGATGAAACCGTGCAGGTGACGCAACCGAACTCAAGGAGGAGATTGATGAAGACCTGTTCGTAGTGTTGTTTCGTTTCAGTTGATCAGTAGTGGAGCCCAGTTGGGACGATCGGGGATCAGTGTAGCATTTGGGGTAGTCTTCCTTTATTTTGGTTCCGTAGTCGGACCTTGATTGTATCTGGTTGTTGTAATGTTACATTCATGTATTGTGTGAAGTGGCGATTGTAAGCCAACTATGTATCTCTTTCCCTTATGTATTACATGGGTTGTGTGAAGATTACCTCACTTATGACATTGCTTTCAATGCGGTTATGCCTCTAAGTTGTAGCCGCATCGAGGGCGTTACATCAGAGCCATGACAAAGCCTCCAAGGAGGGGAAGGCACCCGCAGGCGTCAGACTCAGCCACGTGTAGTAAGAATTTTTCCCAAGCCATGACCACAACTCCCAAAGTCCACCGAAGCTAGAGCAAAATGGAGTATGCCGACAAGGCCAGCCACCATAGCAGGAGGAGACACAACTCGTCGCATCGCCGCCACCACAACCTAAACCTGTTCATGGGAAGCTCGGCCCAATGATCTGGCCCGGAAAACCCAGGCCGGTCCGGGCTACGCTTGCCTCTTGGGCCGGGCTCGGGCTTCATTTTACAGACCGAAAGAATATTCGGGTTGAGCTACTATTTCTCACCTTTCCAGGCCAGACTTTCGGGCTTCGGGTCGGGCCTACACATGTGTAGACTGAAGAACTAGATTCGGGCTCTTTCGTGCTTCAGGTTTGCATTTGGGCCGGGCTCGGGCTTGAGAAAGCACATATTTTCGGGCTTCGGGCTTGGGATTGTCACTTCAGGCTTTGTCAAGCCCGGCCTAAAACCAAGCCCGACCCGGGGTATGATCGAGTTTACCACGACCACCAAGCCAACAAGATCATGGGCAGCCTCAACGGCCCGACCTTGGACTCGAACCCCTACACCATGCAAGTATGCATCCAAGTCGGCCCTGGCAACTCTTCCCAGCACCACGCCGATAAGAGCACCGCTTTAGCACCAAGCCGTATGATTTTGTGGAGCGAGACGCCTACCGCTGGGCGTCACAACACTGGCACCAGGACCACCAAAGCCACACCGGGCTGCAGCGTCGTTGACTCCCCTCCCACACCCAAACCACGAGGCCGCATCGTCTGGCCGAGGGCACATCGCCATCGAAGTACCTAGAAGCCGCTCACCAAGGGGCAAACACGCCGAGCTATAGCCCACCCCATCGCCAGACCAGACTGGCGCACCATCCCCATCACCCCATGGCCATGGCCGGTCGGCGCTACCAAGAGCTCACCAGGGTCATCGTCCAGAATCCAACATGTGCCACTTGTGCAAGAAACGGTCGAGGACCCCGTCTCTTTGGGAGGGGGCACATCGCCACCGCGGCCGAAGTCGGCAGCCACGAGGGAGTCACGTGGGGGCACCTGTGGTGGGCTAAGGTTTCGACCCCCAAGTCGCCGGGGGGGAAGGGTCAAGGGGGCAATCAGCGTGAGAGAGTGGTATGCGTTTGGCAGACTCTCTCTCTTCATGTTTAAATGGCTCATGTCAAAATTCTAAGCAACCAAGAAATATGGTGAGCGGAGGGGCATGAGTTTCATGGGTTCAAATTTTCCCAATAAAATACGCCTCACATGTTCAACTCCTGAAGCAATAGTGCAACACTCCCTCTAGTTGGAGATGGGCATATGATGATAGTGTATGATACTACTTCTACAGTGCATAGTATCATAAGCTAGTATGTTAGATTGCCTCATTTACTATCATGCATGACACAATGTACATCATTTAATATGATATGGTATGCCAAATCTTCTCTTTTCTCATTTAATTGTGTGCCACATCAGCGAAAACGTCTAAGTTCACATGCATGATACGCTTATGATACTCCCATTGAGGACAGCCTAAGAGTGTAATTCCCCCTCTCTTATCTCCATGGATTAAATGTTGTGTCGGATTCGAAGCATTTTTAACTCACTAAGACTCAAAGTGGGACTAATATAACGGAAATCTGAAAATTTTGAGATAGGCCCTCCATACCGGAAGGGAGGGAGTATTTGGGAAGGGGAGTATGAATTTAGAGCAGAGAGTTGTATTGACATTAGAAATGGGATGAGTCGTTTTATTCCAAATCCTCTGTTTGGCGCATGATAAGAATTATGTATAAGAATGTTAGGAAACTTTTATTTCTTTGCTTGGTTCGTGGGAATCAACGAGGGAATAGATAAGGGAAGATAATGTAAGTTATGGTGAAGGGTTAACATAATGTATGTTTTTAGGCATGAGTATAAATTCGTATGCCTAATCCCTTCTCAATTTCCACTCCCCGACACCAAAGAACAAATTTAAAATCTCGTGCTCATTCATTTCCCGTTTTCTAGTAACATCAAATCGAAATTACATTGAGAAGCCAGACTTACGAGCATCGTAGGAATCGCCACCGCTACCATGCTGATGAAGGCAACGGATGTCTGACAAGGCAACACAAGATTTGGGAAATAAGAAGAGACACTCCATGACCTCAAGATTGCAGCAATATGGAAGAATTAATCTTTCAAAAACTCAAATGGAAACTGAAATTAGATGGCAGAGGCTCAGTGCCTAACCGTGACGGCGACGAAGGTCAGGAGGAAGAACACCGGGTCCCCAAGACCAGCGCGGGCCGCAAGGTGATGGGCCGGAGGGCCCGCGGGGTCCCCGGCGCCAACGCTCTCCGCGTATCCCCCCGCCCCTTCTTGCGCCTCCCGCGCCTCATCCTCCGTCGCTCCATTCCCCTCCTCCCCCTCCCCCAATAACGCCGCCGCCGTCTCGCCTTTGGCTTCGGGAGCGCTGGAGAGGCGTTTCTTGGGGAGAGGAGATGGTGGGTGTGGAATACGCAGGGAGGCGAGGGGAGGGCGTGCGCGGCAGGGAGTTGGTGGCACGAAGACGGGGCGGAGGGGGCGGGGAGGCGGCAGGCGGAGGAGGCCGTGGAGCTGGCGCGCTGCCGCCATACGGGGACGCCTTTGCTGCCTGCAAACCCGTCGAGCGAGTAGCCGCACTTAATTTTGGTGGAATGAATTTGTTGGATTTTTTTCCTTTTTTTAATAGAAAAAAATGGTGAAATAAAAACGATATTTAGGCTGGCGGAGTATCCAGTGAAAATCACTAATCAGTGAAAATCTGGAAACTTGTGACCTGGGGCGTTGGATCGTTGACGGATGGTACAGATGAAAGGTGGGTTTGCTAACCAGCCACTTAAGTGTATTTTTCACATAACCCCTTGTCTTGCTGACTGAGCATAAATCTTTTGACGCCGCAACCCATGAACGATTCGTCTTCGATCTCTGCTGCGACGATGACTGCGCCGCCGGCTGTAAGCCCTCGCCCGCCGCCGGACGTGATGGAGAACGCCCGCGCTGCTCCTTTCTATCCCATGGCCCTGCCTCCTCCTACACCTGCACCGGCCGTCGTCGACGCCCTCGCTGTTCCATCCTCTCTCATGCCCCGCCTCGTCCTAGCCCTGCACCGGCCCTGTACTGGACACCCTAGCATTGTCTTTTGAGCTTTTGAGAGGTTGAGCATTTTTGTATCCTCCAAAACAAAGAGCGCTTGAGCGTTATATGTTGAGAGATTCTGTGATTATTTGAAGCTCCACAATATTTTCTGTTAAGAAACTGTAGTTGTTTGTCAGAATTTGTAGCTGTTCATGCACTGTAGCTGTCACTTTTAACATAGGAGAAGAACTCCAGATTGTATGATTTGGTGTACGACAAGAAGTCCATGCCTTGCAAGATTTCAAATTTCTGCTTGGCCATATTTTGCTTGGATGACCAAATTCAGTATCATTGGATATTGTACAACTGTTGAGAGCTTCAGGATTGCATATTTTGCCAACTTGAAGATGTAGCCTGGGAATACATGTATCATGTCTCTGTTTTTCGGTTTTACTCCATACATCATGTCATTTTTGTCAAAGCAAAGTTGTAAAATAGTTCAGCAAACCCGCACTGTAACCATCACTTTTAACATACATACATGCTGCATAAGCTTCTTCCAACAAAAGCTTCAGCGATACATCCACTCTATGTCGAAAAAAAGATGCATAGTACAATTTAGATTAAACCACTAAGAATGTTTCTTCAGATCAAAACTTCTTCCTGCCCCGAGGATCACCACAGAAGTGCATGAACAGACCACCCTTGCACTGAATTCTGTGTAAACTTTCATCCAACACACTCCAATGGAGCTCAACAATACATTGCAGTTCAGAAGCTTATATTCAGAAATTTTTGTCTTGTACAAATTCCCATATTACAGCAATGGAGGACCACCCATCTAACTATCTAAGTTCAGTCATAACACCTCACAACATCAAAATTGCATTCAGAAATTTTGGCTTGACATGACAAGCTCGCACACGAAATTGGATAAATCAGGTAGAATGAGGCATTGCAGAATCAAGCTTTGAAGGAGCAACAGCCCATTCCGCGGCCGGCGTCCCCGGTGCGCCCGTCGTTGCGCACGGAGTCCTGTTGGCTGGGCCGAACGTCGTGGGCATCCTCGCCTAGCCCATGGGCAGCGTGACTTGTGGAACCACTCCACGCCGAGGGGAGCTTCAACGCTGTGGATGCTTTCATCAGCGCCGTTGGGAGCCCCGCCCGCTGTCGCCGCCCTCAAGCTTCGCCGATGTGGGTTGTGTCGGCGCCGGACACCTTCGTGGCATCCACACGGTGGCAGCGCCATAGGTGACGCCTCCGCCTTCGGTCGTCGCGGTTGGGGACGGCGGCAACGCCATGGGGGGTGGTCGTCGTGGTGGGGAACGACCATGGATAAGGGGCAAATTTTTCATAATTTGCCCCCCACCCCCAGAATGACAGGTGGGGCCTGGGCCCGCCCGTCATTGAGACAATGGGTGGCAAATTGTGAAAGGGAGAAGTAAGGGGTGGCAAATTGGATAAAGCGAGATCGAAGTCATGAACTGCGGCGTCAAAGGGTTTCCTGCCCTGTGAGTAAGACAAGGGATTATCTGAAAAGTACCCTTAAGTGGCTGGTTAGCAAACCCTCCTTTCATCTGTGCCATCCGTCAACGATCCAACGCCCCGGGTCACAAGTTTCCAGATTTTTACTGATTAGTGATTTTCACAGAATACTCCGCCATTTAGGCTTTGCATGGTATGCTGCGCATTACACATGCTGAGATATGCTACCATGCTACTTTTTTTTGCAACGAATCATGGAGCTTTATTAATGAACTAGAATTCGGTTACAATCTGTCCGAAGGCTGCTGATAAGAAAATTCAGGCTCTCATCAAGCCAGCTTTCTGTCCCCTCTTGAGCAGCAGCTCAGCGGGCACAGGGATGAGCCGGATGATTGAGAGTCTTGCCCACATGGGAAACCGAAAAGAAAACAAAATCAAGAACTATCTCCTCTAATTCTGCTAAGATAGGCGCAACAATAGACCGGTTATTGCCTTGCGAGTACCATAGGTTGACAAGCTCAAGGCAGTCCACATGTATGATCACATGAGAGTATCCCCGGAGGCGCGCAAAGATCACCCCCTCCTGGAATGCCATCAACTCGGCAATGAAAGGATATGAGATTACAGGCAAAGTTTTACTCCATGCAGCGAGGCTAGGTGGGAACGAACGACACCGCCAGCATCCTCCTTCATAGCATCCCCGTTAGTTGCTCCATCAGTGTTTATTGTAATCCACCCCGGATCAGGTGGCCTCCAGCACTGATCAGCAGGATGTTTCGATCGTCCTAGTGGCAAGTCCAGTAGTGTCAAGGTCTTATGCACCCATTTGTGACGCCCCAAGACCGGAGCTTCAAATGCCTTCCATGTTTTCCGAGTTTCGTCGGGTGTTTTGTTTTGTCTGTTGCGTGTATCATTGCATCATGTCATCATGTCTTTAATCTTTCCAACTCAACTAAATAAATCATATGGATCTTTGATCCATTTAAATTGAGGTAACTCACATGGTGGTTTCTCTTTAAAACATACCCTCCCGATATTTAGGAAGATATTATAAAATATTCCATTGTTTTGGAATCACCCATGAACCCACTTGCATATTAAATCCCTTGGCCTTTTCTTCTTCAAGTTTCGACTCTCTAGCCTTTCCATTAATTCTTTACCATTTTCCGGAGCTCTATCAAAATTCTCAACATTTTTGGATACTCCAAAAACCCTGTCCTAGTTCAAACCCATTTGAATTAAATTCAAATGAGTTTGAATTCTTATCGTTCGATCTGGCCTTCTCTAATTTTCTCGGACCAAGCTTATTTTTGTGAGTCCAAAAAAATTACCCGCATGTTCAAATTCGTTCCCTAAACCCATCTTCCTTTTTTTCCCTTTCTCTCTTTTGTTTTCCGTCAAAGTAGTTTTATGAGAGAGAGAGAGAGAAGAGGCCCAGCAGCCATCCAGCCCAGCTGGGCCTCCCTCCCTCACGCGTCGGCCCAAGGCCAAGGCCCAACCAGCCCCACTGCTTACCCTAGCGATCCCTGCACCCCTTCTCCTCGTCCCCTCGCGCCGCCACACGCGCACGCGGCCAGAGCCCGATCCCCTCGATCTCTCTCTCACCATCTCCCTCCCGCATAACCGCAGTCTCCCTCGTCCACTCCTCCTCGAGCGGCCCCGCTAGACCCGCGCCCGGATCTCCTCCTCCCCGTTCGTCCTTCTCACCGGGAGCCCGAGCTCCACTGGGTCCCCCTCGCCCTCGCCGTTCAGCACCGGCGCCGCCCTACTGCTTCGTCCATGACCTCCGCCAGACCTCTCCTGCACCTCCGCCGTCGCCGGAGTTCCCCGTGAGCCTCCCCTCGCTTGCGTCCACAACCGCGAGGCAGTGCCTCCTCACGCGCCCGTGGTCCTCCCCTTCTTCGTCTTGAGCGGTAACAGGAGCGTCGCCGAGCCCTCGTGCCCGCGACCCTACAGCCGCGCTGACCATCAGCTCCGGCCGCTGAGCTCCCTACTGCGCGTGTCCCGTCTCCGACCCCTGCGCCTCGCCCGCTGGCTAGTCCCTTCTCCGGCGTTCCTTGTTCCCCTCTCCCTGCTACACCTCGCCATGCTCCTATCCCGCCGGTCTGCCTCCCCACGCCGACAGCAAGCCCAGCTGCTGCTGCTCTTCACCAAGCCCGCTCCTCCCGTGCATCGGCTGCTCCTTCTCCGCTGTCCAGGGCTGCCTCTAGCCCAGCGCACAACCACAGACGGCCGCACCTGCAGGCAGACTTTCGCCGAGTCCCTTGTTGCTGTCTCAAACGGAAGTTCAGCGATGCTTTGCCACCTCGACCAGAGCGCCAAGTACCACGACTTCGCCTCTTGCTCGACAAGTGCCGCACCGAACGCCAAGTACCAGGATGTTGAGGACCCGTCAAGATCCCTTTGGATGCGGCAAGTTCCACGATGCCGCATGAGTTTCTTCTTGAATGTGTACGACTACGCGGATTCGTCAAGTACCACGATATCCGGAGCCCTCGGATATGTCAAGTTCAGCTAACGTCGTAAGAACGAGACCAGCAAGTCCGAAGACCCCAAGTACCACGACAACTTCGAAGGGATTCAAATCCGTCAAGTTCCTCTACCGATGACTCGAACGCCTACGAAAACGTGTACCACCACCGCCGCCGAGATTGTGAGAACCTCTACCGACGACCTCGAAGCGTGTATGATGACCGTTGTCGAAGACATGTACCTCTACCGCTTCCCGAACATGAACGACTACCTCCACTACGAACGTCCCGAGAACGTCTACTTCCTTTACTTTGCACCGAACGAGAATTATCCCGTTTGCACGCTCCCTTGGAAGGTATCACCACCGAGACGACGCCCGTGAATGAATGATGTGTGATGTTTGAGATGCTCGTGGTTGCACCGTGTCCGAGTTGTTCTTTGTGAGTTCCTCATTGTCTTGCTGTCGACATGTGGGAACCCGGTATCCGGGAGCACCCCATCTTCTTGCATGACACACTCACACCCACTTTCTTTTGCACTCGTATCCCCGTGAGCTACCG